GACTCGCTCAAGGCTAGAAATGGACTCGCTCAAGGCCTGAAATGTCATGACTGGAAGATGTTCTTCCTCCTGACTCACTCACTCCCGCTGGGCAGCCCCCAGCCACTCGCAAGAGGGGGTCTAGAAGTCAGCTGCAAAGGCAGCCCTCGGTGTCCTTGCCCTGGCTCGGCTGCTAATGTGGGCTTCGAAACAGCGGTGGAAGTAATTAAGATTTCAACAGCAGTTATTGCAGTTTACTTAATTGCCAGCTAATAATTAAAATTGTACAGAACTTGGGGAAATGTGGCTGATGACTTGCAGCCCTCCTTCCTTCCCACACTTCCCGAAACCTGCCAGGATCATAACCCTCCACCAGAAGCTTCTGTCTGTGATGGCATCAGATGGCCAGGGAAGGCCCAAAGCCCAGTGTGGCCCATGGCGGAGACCGGTCCCAAGTGAGCAGGACTGGAGCTCAAATGTTGGGGGGGAGGGGTGCGGGGCTGTCAGGCCTGAGGACTCAGGGACAGTTTGGGGTACTTGTCTCCCCCCAGGCACAGTGAGGTGCCAGAGGAGAATGGAGTTCACCTGCAAATGAAGAGCCAGGGAGCCAGCACCAGCCCCACCTGAGGGGGCACCTATGGCTCAGCCACCCCTTTGTGCCTTCGGACCAATAGTGCTGCCACTTCCAGAGCACCTGCTGTGCGCCCAGCACTTTATATGTACTAGCTCTTTAAAAAAAAAAAAAATATATATATATATATATATGCATACAGAACTGGGGTACAGGCCAGAGGCACAGGGGCTGTGAGAGGATTCACCAGAGACAGAGTGGGGAGCAGAACAGGCAGATCGATGGAAATACACTGCTGAGGGGAGCAGCAGGTGGGACAGGAGAGGTCTGCCGTGCCATGTGGGTCAGCTCCAGGTATCCAACTTGCACCGTAGTGGCTGCGGCTAGCTTGCAGTGCTGCGCTTTAACACTGCACCACCAGGGAGAGCCATGAACTAGCTCTTTAATCCTCACGTGGGGGGTGGGGGGAGGGGGATGCTATTCTCCACATTTTATAGAAGAGACATCTGCAACAGGGCGAGGTGGCTTATTCAAGGTCAAACCAGTCGGAAAAGACAGTGCCAGGATCTGAACTCAGGTCTTCGCAGCTCTAAGGACTGTGTTCTTGCTACTACACCACACTGTCAGCTCCTGCCCCGCATCTCAGTCCCTTGGGCACTAAGTCTCCTACTTCTAAGGGGACCCATTCTTGTGGATAAACGGAGCCTTGGCCACCACCCACCAGTTCACCCCGGCCATCCCTCCTCCAGGGAATGACAAACTATCCCTCCGCTTTGATTTAGTCCTTTTCCTCCTTCACCTGCCATGGAGAAGTGGCCACCTAAGTCTCTGTGTGCACGTGTGTGCAGGGTTGCAGAACTGTGTCTACATGAGTGAGTTTGTGGGTTTCCACAGCCTCCTGGCTGGGCCACACGGCTGCGTGCAGCCGGAGCATGCATGCTTCTCAAGGCTGTGTGTTATAGTGGAAGCAACGGGGACTTGGGACTCACACCAGCATGGAGAGTGCCTCGTGCACCTGGCACACATTCAGCAAATGGGCATCATGTGCATTGGTGTGTGCGCACCTATGGGCCAGGGTGAATGATCTCCTCATCCTTGGGGTGCTCTCTGTGGTCTTGCGTACGATCTGAAAGAACCACCACCCTATCCTGCAGTGTCACAGTGCATGCCGGGAAGATGCTGTTGTCTGTGGCTAGTGTGAGTTGCCGTGGTGATGGCTGCATTAGGAGACTCTTGCTCTTTTCTGAGTCTAAACTGCACGTATCCTCCAGATTGCTCCATTTGCAGGAAAAGGAGCGGCAGCCTAGGAGGACCATGTGAATGTCAAATCACCTTCTAGTCTGGGCAAAGTGTGTAAGCTTCTTGAATTCTGGGGACTTCCCCTTTGCATGCATGTCAGTCCTCTCATCCTGGGGCTTCAGCTGCACCCCAAGAATGTGTGCATCACTGATGACTGTGGAACAGAGACAGACTTGTCCACAGTCTTTTGAAGGTGGCATGCTCAAGATGACCACCAGAGGACACTGCTGGGGCACTGAGGGAGATGTTGGGTACTGGCTCTAAGGATTTGTCCAGGCCTAGGAGCAGAGGGCAGATTCTGGTCCCCCAGCAAGTAAGCTCTGTCCCACTTCCCTTTGGGGGGTAGGCTGCCAGTGGTTGATGTTCATCTCACCCCACCCACCCGCTAGTCACCCCCACCCTGCAGATATCTAGACGCCCACCTCACCAGTGACTGGTTTGGATTGACTCACTTCCAAGGACTTTGTGACTAATTCTTGGCAAGTTTAGGAGACTTTGAGGTGTTTACATCAATTCTGGTATGTGGAAATGAGGTAGGGGGCTCGGGTCAGGGTCTGTGGGGGAAAGAGGGTACTGTGATCAACACACTGAGAAATGGGAAAGTGTCTTTTTCTGTCACTGCTGGAGCATTAAGATCTAAGTTCCCAGAGCCCACCTCTGCACCCCTGAATACTTAGAGAGCAGAGTGACCATGTGATGCTGGCCTCTATGAGTCAAATAATTTTCCCTTCTAAAAAAACATCTCCCGGGCCCTTCCTGGTGGCGCAGTGGGTTAAAGCACAGCAATAAAAAGCTAAAGCCACTTCAGCATGAGTTCGATCCCTGCCCTAGCGGTGACCCACTTGGCACAGCAGACCTTTCCTGACCCGCCCACTGCTCCCCTCAGCAGGGTACTTTGTCAGTCGGCCTGTTCTGCTCCCCACTCTGTCTCTGGTGAATCCTCTCACCACTCCTGCACCTCTGGCCTATACCCCAACTCTGTGCCTAAATAAATAAATCTTAAAAAAAAAAAAAAAAGAACATCTCCCTAGTAGGACACGCATGTATGCTTTCTTTTTTCAATGTATTTTAAACATTAAGGTGGCATGCATGCTTTCTTGAAACGTTCGTTGAGTACCTGCTGTGTGCCACCACTGTGCTTGATGCTAGCGGTACAGAGATGCCTTGTGATATATGAGAAAAAACAGGAGTTTCTTTCTAGGCTCAATCCTGCTGTGCACTGCATGTTAGGTGTGTGACCTGGGGCAATTTGCTGCATCTGAGACTTAGTTTTCTCATCTGTAAAATGGGTCGATAGCACAAATTTCTCATAATGTAAGGATTCAACTAGATGATGCCTGCAAAGGGTTGGCACACACAGAATCTCTGGGTGACTCTCGGTAACCTTCTTCTTGGGACCACACAGCCCTGCAGTTGTGCCTGCCTTTCTCTCGTCTCTGCCAACCCTGGGCAAGCAGTGCCCTGGCCCCGAAACCCACATCTTGGCACTGTGCTCCCCGTCCTTGCATAGGCATTTTAGAACCAAGCTTTAACAATATATATTTACACTTGCTGACCCTGTCTGAGTTCACCGCCAAGCCATGAGCAGCTCCTAAGGTGACACTTGCCAGGATAAATAGGTATTAGCAGCCACAGAAGTGACGCCAGGGCTGGGAAAAGAGCTCAGGCCTGGCACTGAGGCTGCCATTCGTCCCTTCTTGGATCCATCATGCTGACCACAGAGAGTCCCTCCTCACCACCTCCAGCCTCCTCCTGGCTCTCCCACCGAGGGGAAGGGGCAGTGCTTGGGCCTGGGTGTGGCACCAGTTCTCAGTAAAGGTGCTTTAAATGTTCTAGAAAGGGTGGCGCTGCCTGGCTCCCTACCTGCCCTACCCAGACTCCAGCGGCCTGATCTGCGCCTAGCCTTAGGGAAAAGGACTCAGAAACATTTTTGGTTCTGGGGTTGAGAGAACCTCTTTGCCCTGCTGAGCTGGGGTGGGGGGGGGTAAGGGGAGCGCCAGGTAGTTTGACTTCTAGTGCTGGAGGCAGAAGATTTGGGGATGGAGAGAACGGGCTGTAGCCTTGTGGGTTGGAATCTTCAGGCTCTGCATTAGCGTCGCCTTTCTGTGCCTCCCTGACTCTCTCCCATAGATTGTCCTCCCATAGATTGTGGGGGGAGTTGATGCCATTCAGGGCTTTTGATCCCAAAGTCAAGGCCAGGTCTTCAGGGCCTATGGTGCCACCTGGCACAAAGTACATTTGATAAAGTTTTATTGGCTGGATTGATGGAAGGAGAAAGTTCTCAGAACTTCATGATTTCAGCTCAAATACCCCTCGGGGGCCTTTTGGATGCTATTTTCACTCCAGAAAGGCTATGGGATAAATTTATTTGCTATTGTAGATTCTCATCCTATTAAACTACTTAGACACCAAGGTCAGATAAAATGTCTGACTGTTTATAGGATTCTAGTTGCACTTGGGACCGTGTCCCTCAGCTAGGGTTTGAATTGCTCAGGGCTCAGTCTGTGCTCCAGAAAATGCCTGCTCATCTTTTGGAGACTATCTGAGCTATATCTCCTGAACCCCACAGTCCAGATACTCCCCAACTCCAGATGTTTCCCAGTCAGGACTATGGAAGTGGGGCACACCCTGGCTTGTAGCGGCTCCCCAGAGCCAGTCACTAGCATCTCCTCCTCCTAAGCCCACGGTCATTGCATTCAGGTGGGCAGCTTCAAAGCAGCCATGGCAGGGGCATTCACATCACTGAAATTGGCACACTATATTGGGGTGGCCCTCTCCCAAGAGCCAGTTGTTAAACAATTCCCAGCATATTGCTGGAAATGAAGCTTTAGGCAGAAGAGTTTCCAGCTATTCCCAACCATGGAAAACTCTGTGAGAAGCAAGGCATCCCCATGGTGAAGCCAGGGAATAGGGATGTCCTCAGAGGGCCTGGGAGAACAGCAGAGCACTGAAGGCCCACGCTGTAGCGACCTTTCAGGTTTGAGACTCCAGAGAGGGTGTCCAGGGCCTTTAGAAGAGCCTGAGAGGCAGGTGACCGGCGTGTCCTTGGGACCAATCTCCTGGAGGTGTGGACCAACTCTTCTTCCCCAACCCCCTGAGTCTCAGCAATAAGTTCTCTTCACTCACCCAACCTTCCGTTTCTCCTTCTCAGACCCGGAGTCCCAGAGAAAGAGGACAGTGCAGAATGTTCTGGATCTTCGACAGAACCTGGAAGAGACCATGTCCAGCCTTCGAGGATCACAGGTGACTCACAGGTGAGTGGGAGTGGCCCCTCTCTGTCCCATTCTGGAGGCCGGGCCCTCCTGATCTCTGCCTGGTCAGCTGGTAGACCCGCTGCATGCAGAGAGCAGAAGCCACGTGCCACTGGGGTTGGGAGGGCCATGTCCGAAAAAGAGCCTGGCTTTGACAGCTATCTGCTTGGGTGTGGGCATTGGGTTCCATTTAAGTGAGTGAGTTTGAATATCACTGGAGTGGGGGATGGGAAGCCGTGGGATGTCCTATGCTTCTTAGGGGTCAGCTTCATTTGTCAAGGGCTTTGCTGAGTGAGCGCCTCTTCTGTTTTGAAGTCCCCCTCATTCTGGGATTCCAGGATAAGTGCCCTTTCCAACACCCAGGATCCTCACACTTCTGCGAGTTACGTTCCCTCTCACCTCTTGAGGCCTCACAAGGAGACCTGAGAGCTCAGCAGGGCCTTCACTGTGTTGCCCAGATCCACCATATAGGGGCACCCCACCCTTTGCAGAGACCTCGTAGCCTCCAGCTGCGTGGGGCACAGCCCCCATCACGGCACCTCTCCCGAGTGGTGTCCTGGCCACAGGCTCTGCTCTGACTCAGAGTTTCCCCACTGGCTCCTTGGGTTGCCCAGATGAGCTCATGCTGTCAGTTCCAGGGGGGACAGAGGGCCAGGCTCCGCTGGGGGGTAGAGCAAGAGGGAACAGCTAGCCAGGATTGGGAAATCTCGGGCGTGTGGAGCCTCAGGCTGAGAGGAGGGTAGTCAGCCTCTCCCACTGGACGGGAAATGGGCCCCTCCCCACCTCCCAGGGCAGGAAAGTGAGAGCGAACTTGAGACACAGGGCTATGGGAGCAGCAGCCTTCTCACTCACATAGGTGGCCAGGGGTGCCAGACTGGACTTCCATGTCTCCCGAGCTGGAGAACTCACTCCCTTTTGGTCGTCCCAGGGGTGCTGTGCATGAGGGCTGCGGACAGGCTCTCCCGGCTCCAGGGCCCCTCCTGCCAGGCCTCCCCTCTCCTCTCCCAGCTCCAGCCCGTCCTCTACATTGGACAGGAAGTTCTGTGCTCCCTGGGACTTGGCCCCCTGATTTTAGTCTCCAAGCCCTGAGCAGGAAGCCACATTGTTGGGGTCTGGTTTACTTGACTCATTATCCAGGGACCCAAAGGGTGAAATCTGTACATCTTCCCTCCCAGCTCCACGGAAGTTGCTGGAACAGCACTCAGCACCCAATCACCTGCTAGCCCCAGGCCAAAGAAGGCAGAAAGTGCCAGAAGGTCACACCCTAGGTGACTCATCCACCAGGGAAGAGCGGAAGCAGTAGCCCAGCCTCCTGGTGCCCCTGACCCAAGCGGCCAGAGCCCCCTTCCTGAATTAAACAGACACTGTGACCCCCAACAATGCTATTTACTTTCTGCTTGATGTGGGGAAGCCCTGACCTCTGGCTTCTGTCCTGTGCTTAAAGCCTTGTGTGTCGTGTTGAGTAGCGTTAGGGGTGGAGAACCTCAGGCCTCTGGCTTCTGTCTCCCTCTATGGGAAAGGAACCAAGAGCCCCAAAGAGAACTTTTCTGTTTACTGTGGCCCCAGAGCTACTTCCTCTCTTTGCCTTTGGTTTATGTTACTCCTGTTCCACAATTTGAGAGCCAAAACAACTCCCTGACTTTTTATGGCTCTTTTAGTTTTTAAAGTGTTTCCCATCAATCAGCCGATCCCACAGCCCTGGGAGTAGATAGGATAAATACCCCTGCCCCCAGAGTATAGAGAAGAAACAGTTGAGGCTGGGTCAGCGATGAGCACTCAGGCCAGTTAGCTGCATCCAGCAAGTTTAGTGCCTGTGCCAATTGTGTGCCAGGCACAGTGCTGGGCACCGATGCTGTGTTATCCTGGTGGTACACTGAGGGCTTCCAGGTTATTTTCACCCTGGAACTTAATGCTTAAGTCTAGATCCAGGTCCTTCTCAGGAATTTTTATTCCTGTCCTACGTCTATTTCTCCTGGCTTGTTTCCCCACCAAGGAGAACCTGGGTCAGAGGGCTGGGACTAGAGAGGAAATGAAACTCTGTCCTCCCTCTGCGCCAGGCCCACTGCTTTCCCCACTCCAAAAATGCCCTCCTGGGAGAGAGGCAGGATTGAAGGGTTGAACATAGGACCAGAAGCCAAGAACTGAAGCTCTGAGTAGACCCCTCCCCTGCCAACTTAGGGATGTGTTTCAGGGGGAAAAGGAGCAATTAAATAGCACAGGAGAGCCCTTCCTGGTGGCGTAACGGGTTAAAGCACAGCACTATGAAGCTTTCACAGCCACTGCAGCAGGCGTTCGATCCCTGCCACCAGGGTGACCTACAGGGCGCAGCAGACCTCTCCTGTCTTGCCGACTTCTCCCTTCAGCAGTGTATTTCAGTAGATCTGCCTCTTCTGCTCCCCACTCTGTCTCTGGGGAATCCCCTCACCCCCCTCCCTCCCCCGCATCTCTGGCCTGTACTCCAGTCCTGTGTGTATAAATAAATAAATCTTTTTTAAAAAAAAAAGAAAGGAAGGAAGGAATAGTGCTAAACAAGAGGCAGACCAGGAGTAGGAACGAGGGATCTGGGTACTGAGCGCAGCCCACACACCACACTCATTTTATTAGTCGTGTCCTGGAGTTCTCCATTGTTCTGCCACCCTGGCCATCACTGTCCTCTTCTGTTCCCCATCCCATTGTCTCATTGCCATAGGCAACCTGTTTTGATTAAGCACATACTGCATTAGGCCCTGAACTGAGTCTTTGGTGAGAGAACTCCCCTGCCCTTCAACTCAGCACCTCTGTCACGGGTTTGCTCCTGTAAATTTGCAACAACTGCTAAGTCAGGCCCTGTGCAAATGGTGATCAAGGAGGAGTCTGCAGAGAACTTCCATTCTCTCTGAGGTCCGCAGTCATTAGAAACTGCAATTAGAAAGTGCAGGACAAAATGCACCAGGTCATGAAAGAGAGCCCCAAGGGGACAGGGTGGTGTGAAGCAGGTCAGATGACCCTTTGTGGGTCAGGAGCAGTGGTCACCAAGTGTCCCACCCAGTGGGGTTCAGAACCATTCAGCCCCCTCCAGTTCTGTTAAGCAAAGTATAAAATGCTGTTCTTTCAGGTAGAGACAACTGTGGGGGATTTATTGATTGATTGATTGATTGATTTTAAAGATTTATTTATTTATGCATACAGAACTGGGGTGCAGGCCAGTAGTGCAGGGGCAGTGAGAGGATTCACCAGAGACAAAGTAGGGAGCAGAACAGGCAGATCAACAAAGTACACTGCTGAGGGAAGCAGCGTGCAGGTCAGGAGAGGTCTGCTGCGCCCTGTGGGTCACCTCCAGAGCCAGGGATCGAACTTGCACTAAAGCAGCTGTGGCTAGCTTGCAGTGCTTCGTCCTAACCCATTGTGCCACCAGGGAGGGCAACTGTATAAGAACAAGAACAGAAAACTCAAGGTTCTGCTCTCCCCAGCCCCCAAAGTGACTAAGATATGGATATGTTCACAGTGACGTTTCCTTTGCTCGTGTAACTTTATCCAGCTTTAGGTGGCCTTGGCCGCCCAGCTTTCTTGGCCACAAACCCCATCTTATTACTCAACCCTGTTTGGCTTTAGTTAGGCCAAGGCCCTGAGACCCTCACCCTTGGTTCACTTGGACTGGCACTACTGCTAGGCTGGGGGGAACATCAGTTTCTGTCTGAGCCGACTCCAGGCAGCCTCTCCAAGAAGATCCCCATTGTACTTTCTCTCTGCTCTCCTCTGCCCCCAAGGCTCAGGCCTCCCAGCACTAACCCCGGCAGGCCTCTGTGGCCTGGCCAAGGAAAGCCTGAGACCTGGGGCCCTGGACACTGGGCCTTCACCGCCTGGTCCATCTCCCCCGTGACCTCTTCTCTGTCCAGCTAAGCAGCAGAAGCTCTCCTAGACTTAACTAGGAGCCTGCCACACATCATAAGTTCTCAACACTTTTCCTGTTCCCTAAGCACCTACTCCACATTTTTCTAACTGTGATTTGGGAATCAACTAGTCCTCAGTACACTAACACATCATGAACAAAACGAATGACCAAGGCTTTCCAGGCTTGGTTTCTCCTACCCCTGTCAAGAGGTCTCTGGCCCCTTGCCATTTATTAGGCATCTTCTACCTGCCAGGCACAGTGTTAGGTCTTTATACACAAGATCTATGACCTAGCTATTATGTTATTGTCCCTCATTTTACAGATGAGGGAAGGAGACTTAGCGAGGTTGATTACTTCCTTCTGACTCACTTTGGAATAAATGGAAGATTTTAAAGGGCTCAAACCCAGGCCATATCACAAAATCTAAGCTTTCAATACTTGATCGCTTCCATAACACTTAAAATCACTTTCCTGGGGCGTACTGAAATAACATACAATGGCGAACACACTCAGGAGAGGCTCCCGTGTAGGCGGAGCTGCACAGGGGAGACCATGCGGGAGGCCGGCACTAGGGGTGCAGTGTGAGCGGACAGCAGCTATATCGGGGAGTAATCGGTGCCCTCTGCTCCCCACCCAGCTCCCTGGAGATGACCTGCTATGACAGCGACGACGCCAACCCGCGCAGCGTCTCCAGCCTCTCCAACCGCTCCTCCCCGCTCTCCTGGCGCTACGGCCAGTCCAGCCCGCGGCTGCAGGCGGGGGACGCACCCTCGGTGGGGGGCAGCTGCCGCTCCGAGGGGCCGCCCGCATGGTACATGCATGGGGAGCGTGCGCACTACTCCCACACCATGCCCATGCGCAGCCCCAGCAAGCTCAGTCACATCTCCCGTCTGGAGCTGGTCGAGTCCCTGGACTCGGACGAGGTGGACCTCAAGTCCGGCTACATGAGCGACAGTGACCTCATGGGCAAGACCATGACCGAGGACGACGACATCACTACAGGGTAAGGGCTGCTCCCTGGAACAGCTGGGTAATGAGGGTAGCGGACAGCGGAATTCCTAAATGTGCTGTGCGGCTCACAACAGGGGCGTGTGTTTGCTTAGCCGAAGGTTAGCGTAGACCCTGACATGGAATTGTCCAGGCTTTGGCGTGGTGGGCGGGGCCAACACCCGAAGAGCTGATTGGTCGGTGGTGGTGCCTCCCTCTCACTGGCCCCCGTGGCTGCCTGTCCGGCATGCCCCGCCTCTCTCCCAAGGTTGGCAGTGGGGGTACTGGGTCTTTAGTCCCAGCTCTTAAGCTAACTCTCTGCAGCCCTTGGGCAACTAATCTGCTTCCCCATTTGTAAAAGGGGGCGACACTGTTTCTCGCTCAGTTGACAGGGCAACTTGACAGTCTGGCAACTGAGGGGAAAGGATAGGAAAATGTAGTGCGAAGGGCTTAAGTGCTTGGCCAACTGCACCAGGCCCAGGGCCAACGAGTTGCAATGGTTCTGGAAGCTTCTTTGGGACCTCTCTCAGCTAACTTTTTCTTCGTGGTTTGCTGGGAGCCCCCAAGAGGGGATAGTATCCCTGCCCCACCCCCTTCTCAAAGACCACCTTTCCCCACTGAAACTCAAACTTCAAGAGAATTGAAAACACCACATTCTCAGAAAGGACCACAAGCCCAGTTCCAGGCCATCCGCTGTTCTCCACCCCTGGGGATACGCTTGGAGGGATCTGGTCAGAGCCTGTCCAGCTGCTCTGGAGCAAAACATCTGACGCATAAATGGGGTTGTTTACTGCCTGTTAAACCCCAAGGGCCCGCCCGACCTCACACTCAGATCCGCCAGCCTGGAGCGCCAGCCTGGAGCGGAGGGCTGCAGAGAATCATCCAGCTTCTCCTGTGCTCAGGGGGCTTCGCTGGGCAAGCAGAGACGGCATCTGACGAGCTGCCCCGCACCGCCTCTTCTCTCAGGCATGCCGGGTGTCTGCCAGCTTCCCTTCCTGCCCGCCCACCCCCTCCAGTGACCTACCACCGCAGTGGGGCAGAGGGCTCCAGAATGTCCTCGTGTCTTCGCAGACACAGGCCTCAGCCCCCAGGGAGCTCCCAGACAAGTGAGGAAAGAGCCACCCCACCACCCTGACAGTGGTGGTGACAGAAAGTTCCCTACATGTTGGGACGCACAGAACTCCTGCCTTTGTGGGGTCACTCAGGCCGCTGACAAGTCAGTCCCCCTCTCCAGGTTCGCTTTATCTCTCTGCTTGCTCAGTGGCAGTAGAAACCTAATCCAGGGTGATTATGAGGATGTATGGGTTACCAGGCTCAGTATGAAAGCTCAATAAATGCTAGCTGTTGCAATAATTACATGTTATTTATATATTATTACATATTAGTAAATATACTATATTCTATATAGTATAATACAGTGTATATATAGTATAGTATAATAAATATACTATATGAATACTATATTCATATATATTGATAAATATATACTAAATGGCTAGTATATAATAGAATGGCTGTCATTCTAGGCTATTATTATTGAAATACGGTTCTGAAGGAGGTTAAAGGACCTAACTTTGTGCGGTCCCAGACTTGGCCTCGGACTGTACTATGTCCAAAAAGGCTCAGAAATCAGCAGCACAGACAGTGGGCCCCATCTTGAGGCGAAGGTGATGCAGGCGTCAAGAGTATGGAAGGGGGGAAGGGCCAGGGAAGGTGCCCCGTTCCCACCCGCTACCACCTTTTCTGTCTCCTCTGCCCACGGGACAACGTGCGTGCTCCTGAGTCAGTGATGAGAAAGCGGGGTTTGCTGAGCATGCGTGATGAGACCTGTCCTTGCCGCACAGCCGCAGACCCTGCCCAGGGAAGCCTGGTGTCCACGGGGGCTGCAGAGACGAGTGTTTGCCTGTCTGCATCCAGAGTGGATGTTCCAGACTGTAAGCTGCACTTACATCATTTCACATGCATGTTTTGCGGTTGGTCTGCAATTAGCAGTAACTCCCAACACTTTGGTTTCAAGGTTTCCCCACTGCGGACTTCCCTGCCAGGGCTGTACACACCGCCCCCACACACACCCCCCTTCTGCTCAGCAAGGCAGAGTTGAGGGGAGTCCATTCATGACCTCCTGCCATCTTAATGTAAACAGTCACTCCTCAATTATGTGTTTTCCTGGGTAAATGTGCTTTTTTCATTAAAAAGAAGACATCCAGGGTTCCAGCAGATGCCCACCTGAGCCTCTTCGCTCAGACTCTTCCTGGTACTTCCATTCCCACTGTGGTTTCCATCCTGGTTTCCTAATTTAGAAAATGCCCGATTCTAAAGAAAATTGTTTCTCCTGCTCCTAACATGGACAGGGTTGTTCCTGTGTGGAGAGAGCCTGCAAGAAGTCCCTTCTCCTCCACATGGCGATACCCTGGAGCTCCCAGCACCGGGCCAGCGGGAGGGGGGAACCTGACCTCCCAGGCCCCACCTCCCCACTGTGGGAAGTGGTCAGTCACAGCTGTCTGAGGGAGCTGTGCACCACGGCAGTGGTCCTGCAGTCTCGTGAGTGCTCTCCGTTACCTGCCTGGGCTTCATCCACTTGGTTTCCTCCCAAGTCAGCTCTTCCCTCCTCCATGCAAACACCAGGCTCTCTCTTGCTTCACAGGCATGGTAACAGAGAGATTATTCTTAGAAACAAATTCTAAGAAAGTTTCTAAATATTCACCTGAAATCTGCTTCACACAACTGCTGCCTTTTGATTCAAAATGTTGTCACCTGGGAAGAACAGAATGAGTGTAAATAAACCTGCATGCAGATATTTTCCATGCTCTTAATGGTTGTGTAGGTATTCTCTTCTCTGCAAGGCCCAGCTTATTTCAGTAACTTTTTTTTTTAAAGATGTATTATTTATGCATACAGAATTAGGGTACAAGCCAGAGGTACAGGGGCAGTAAGAGGCTTCACCAGCGACAGAGTGGGGAGTAGAACAGGCAGATCGATGAAGTCCACTGCTGAGGGGAGCAGCAGGTGAGACAGCAGGGGTCTGCCGCGCCATGTGGGTCACCTCCCTGCCTGGGGATCGAACTGCTGAAGCAGCTGAGGCTCGCTTTGTAGTGCTGCCCTTCAACACTTTGCAGCACCAGGGAGGGCCCTTCAGTACCTTTATAAATGACCCAGTTTTCCAGACCCCAGCTCTCCGGGTCATCCTCCTCTGGAGTTATCAGTGATCCTCTTACAAGTTGACACCTTGACTGATCACCTCCTGACTCTGGTACTGTCAGGGCAGTAGCCGACGCATGACACGCTCACAGCTGCCAGGTGGCTGCTGACCATCCTGGATGACAGCTCAGGACATTTTTACCTCTTGAAAAGAGAAAAGGAATTTGTTTGTCTAAAAATAGGAAGGCCTGGAATTTAATCTAAGCAGATAAGTCCATGGCCATCTGTCCTTCTCTCCCTGGCACCCAGGGCTGGGGCAGGAGAGGAGTGCAGCGGGATACAGGCTCTGTGTCTAGCAGCCACATGTGTGTGCCCTGAGGTAGAAGGTCAGGGGCCCTCTGTCCCCTCCCTAGATTTGCCTGTCAATGCTGCCATTTCTTTGGGTGGTCCTCTGAGCCTTGGAGGCCGTAGGCAGGAGTCTCAGGCTGAGCCTGCAGCAGTACCGACACATTGCACACCTCCAGGGGGCGCCACTCACATCACATAAAATAGTGTCCAGTGACCTATGCCAAGGGTCACAGAACCTTGAACAGAATCAGCAGGCCCCATCTTGAAAGAGCAGCTCTGGGGGTGTCTGTTGGGGACAGCGGGATTTCTCAGTGACTGGCTGCCCGCCCGTCTCTCCTCAGGTGCTTACCTGCTCCTAGGGTGGCTCCATGTCTGTCTTCCTGTTCCCTTCTCGCCTCCCCGCCTCCCTTCTCCAGCCTGTCCTCTTGAACTGTGCTTGGGGGCTCAGGAACAGATGGGATTCGTTTCCTCCTTGGCTCTGAAGTGTCCTGACTTTGAAAAATGTCAAATAAAATAAACTGTAGGCCCTGCCTTCTCCCAGGCTGGCTCTTTGCTCCCAGAGGCAGTGAGTCCAAGCCTTAAAGGGACCTCCCAGCCTCGCTAAGCAGACCTCACTCCTGTAGCCCCCCCTGAGAAGGGGCCCCGTTTGCTGCGCTCCAGTTTGACTAACGTCTAACTGGCAGACCCCTGCCACGTCTAGTGACAAGCACTCGCTTGCTGTGGGCACTGACGAGGCAGGGTTTGTGCAAAGAAGAAAACCCATTTGGATTTGAATGGGCAGGAAGGGGGTCAACTGCCTCTTTCTCCTTTTTCCTGGCAGTCCCTTAGGCATCTCACCTAGTGGGCTGCTGGGCCAGGCCTCGCTTTTGCCCATGAAACACCAGCTTTGGGGCAGAGGGGCCTTGGAGGCGATCCTAGCAAAGACCCAGCATTCAGGATCCAGAAGAAAAGTCCATTTCTGCCTTTGAAGGGCTTCAGATCTAGAAGGGAGACAGGTGGGTCCATAGCAAAGAAGCAATTGTACTTGAAGTTGACATGGTCATCGCCCCTTGGGAGATAGCATCAAACAGTTACCACCTTGGCATGTGGACTTCATGAGCTGCCATGGCCGGTACTTCCTTGTGATATCAGGAGAGCGGTACTGGACTAATCTAGGGTTGGGGGCCCACCTCAGCCTACTGCTAACTTGCTAGTTAGCCCTGAACATGTCACTAACCCCTTTGACTCCTAGTTTGTTCATTGTAAAGTGGTGGCCTTTTTTGCCTTGTAAGGATCAAATGGGAAAGAACACATAAGAATGCTTGGAAAGGCATAAAGCATTGCTGGTTTGAAATATATTATTCTGATCGATCTCAGCCTTCTGTTCTGTCCATTTAACTGATGGCCTCTGTCTTAATTAGGGGCTGCTGTAGTATCAAAATAAGGTTTCTTGGCCCTCCCTGGTGGCGCAGCGGGTTAAAGCACTGCACAAAGAAGCTTAAGCCACTTCCTCATGAGTTCGATTCCCGCCTGCCCCCGGAGGAGACCACA